TTTTCCAGAAAAATCCCAGATACTTGGGAGGCCGAAATATACCCCCCAAATACCGATAATTTACTATATGGACCCCACATTTTCCTTTTGGTCTCTGCCTCACAAGAAACCTATGTGTTTTATTTAGTACTGGAGAGACATATGATTAACTGCTGCCTTTCATATTCATAGGCAATTTTCTGTTGTTTCATACATACACAGTGAAAAAAACACAGTAACATAAACCAATCACAAGAGCTTGACACTATTCCTTATAGGTTTTTGAAGCTTTGTTGCTCCTCGGAGGTGTAAAGTGCTTTTAATGTTTAACGATAAGTTTCAATATAGAGTTACCAGAGGAAGACTGCATGAGCTATGTTCTGAGATGAAGAGCTATGTAAAATGAAAAACAGGCACAGGTGCAATTTTGCAGCAGTGGGATCCTGTGCATTCATGATAAGTCTTGATCATGCACACAATATGAATCTGCTAACATAAATTCCTTTCTGTTCTCTCCACTCTCTAGGATTTCCTATATTTTACTCCCACCTCTGTGCAGGCAGCTAGAGCTGGCAATGCCATCCATGCAATCTTGCTGTATAGAAGAAAACTTGACAGGCAACAAATCCCACCAGTATGTACATTTTCCTCACCTAGTTACATACTCAGTCTTGTATATTCAGTACCTGTTAACCTGATGGAGAAGTAACTGATGGCCAGGAGTAAGGCCCATCCAGTGTAAATGTCATAGACTGTATCCAGTGGTCCTTTTATGCTGGCAGATAGGTGCTTCCACTTGCAGGGTAGGGGTGGCTTTTTCAACCCTTCCCCACAAACATTGTGCCCAGAGCTATTCCTGGACATCCCCTGAACCCCAGCGGAAGTGTTTGAGTGGCACAGAAAGCTGCAGCAGTAGTAGAGAGGTGAGAAAGTTGCATTGTACACATGGTGCTTTGCTCATTGTTGGTTGGATATAAGCAGGGCTATTTTGGGGCAGGAACGCACAGGAACGGAGTTCCGGCTGGCTTCAGAGTTGGCCACGCCCACTACAGCCAAAACCTCTGCGTGCGTGGCTACAGAGCGAAGGCCTGGAGAGTGCCCCCCCGGCAACTCCGAGGCGGGCGGGCCAGGCCAGGGGGCCCCCTGGAAGGGGGCGGGCCAGGCCAGGGAGCCCCCTGGAAAGGGGCGGGCCAGGCCAGGGGGCCCCCTGGAAGGAATGGGGAGCCTGTCCAAGGGCCAGCTTGCCTGGGCTCCCTGCAGCCGCGGGGCAACCGGGCAAGCCAAGGGAAGGCATGGGGGTGTGGCCTCATATGCTAATGCACTGTGCTGTCCAGGGTGTGACTTAATATGCCTATGAGTTTTTGCTGCTGGGTGTGGCCTACTATGCTAATGAGTCCCTGCTGGGCGTTTTCTACAAAAAAAAAAAGCCCTGAGGAAAGCAACTTCCTAACAGCATCAAACCTGGGGCAAGCGCCCCTGTTCTGGCCTCCTTTATTAGACTCTGCCTGTTTTCTGCCACTGACTCCAGGTGACTCCCTGTCCCATTCTCCTGATAACAATAAAGTTCCAGCACTGTCATTATCCTCTGATTGCTTTGGAGGGACTCCGGTATGCTCATGCACTGCTCTTGATCCATGCTGTCCATATGGCACCTATTAAAACCTACTTCTAATCCTTGCCCTATTCACACAGCAGATATGGGGCGATTTCTCACTAGAGCTGCCTTGCGGTGCAGCCGCCGTTTGCCCCGACACGAACATGTCAATTTCACACCCGAAGCTCCGGGGCTGCATTTTGACTCGCGGCTTTGCCCGATTTCCTCCACAGTTTCATGATCCTGGTTTTTGAGGATCATGAAACTGTGGAGGAAATCGGGCGAATCCGCGGGTCAAATGCAGCCCCGCAGCCTCGGGTGTGAAATTGACATGTTTGTGTTGGGGCAAACGGCGCTGCGCTGCGAGGCAGCTCTAGTGAGAAATCGCCCATGGAAAATCCTAGGAATTACACATGAAGGAGTGGAATTAACTCTTGGAGCCCTGTATCAGGTTGGGCCAGTTCTGAGGGAAAGTGGTTCCTCGTTCTTATGATTTTATGCTAAAGCGTTGAAGCAGAACTTTGGTATATCCCTTAGCAGGTGTGACTTTTCACTGAAACTCCACAGAAACTGGACCTGAGAGATGAGTTGTGCTTTCCTCACTGTACAGTACTTGGTAGGGTTGCCAGGTCCCCTCTTCACCCCAGCGGGGAAATTGGGGGGGGCATTCCAGGGGTGGGCAGGGATGCCTCCAAGTCCCACCCCCCAAAAGTGACCACCCACCCGGTCACCCCTCTCCCTCCTCTCCCGCCTGATTTAAAGGGTTTCAGCTGATCGGCGGCAACCACGTGGACCACCGACCAACTGGAGGGCCCTTTAAATCTAGCAGGATGGAGGGAGGGGTGGTTGCGGGCTGCACACTCGGCTCGCAAAAAGACTCAGACCTGGTGGCTAGCAACCCTAGTACTTAGTACTACTTATTTTCTTGGCCAAGTATCTGGATTCCCTTCCAATGGGAGGTGAGCACATTTGGCATTCATGTCTGTGTAACTATGGACTGAAGACAAAAGTGCAGAGACCCGCTGCACCGCAGCACAGAGAACATGTCCTCTCTAAGCAATCTAGTTCTCCATTGTAGTTTTCCATATTACTAGGATAAATATATGACTCCCGTTTCCTTCAGCTATTTTTCTTTGAACAAAATTTGTACACAATATTTTTCATGTGAAGTTAATCCACAGCCAGCTTTTCCGTATAAACTGTTTGCTCAAAATGTGAATAACTCTTGGATAACCCACCCACCCAGCCTCAGTTTTGTCATTTGTTATTTGGCTCTGGCATATGTAATGAAAGGGAGCCCAGTTAACATGATATTTTATCTGGCCTGCTTGTTTAAATCATAGGGGATGACCTGAATTTAATTAGTTTTCCTATGTAGTTCCCTCTGCTCCAGAACTGTCCCATACTTCAGAAAGAACAATGAGGCAGTCACAAAAAGGCCAATACAGCGTAATAGATTTGTTCCTGCCAAAAATTACCTTTAACAGACGGATTTCAGTCAACCGAGCATGATTTTCTCACCTTCCCCTCCTTCTGCACCCCGAATGCCCTCTAAAATGCAGGACCCCCAGGACCAGAATGAGGGGGCAATCAGAGGTCTGCATTGTATGTATCTGTGGGGTGTTAGGGTGTAGGGTGTAACCATCTCAATGAATCTTAAAATATCTTCCACCAGAATAAATTCAGAGCTTTTATAGCAGCCATTTTGGGGCTAAATCAGTTGCAGCTTAGAAAAATCCATGCTGAATTTTTCACCTATATGCAGAATATGCCACAGATTTAGACCTGTGTCTGCGTAGGTATTTCTTTGCCTTTGCATGTTACAGTGCATAAAGACACCCAGATACAACATTTCTTTCGATGCTGTGATATCTTTTTAATGACAGTTTTCATTTTTACAGTCTGTTGTGGTTCAAAATGCTGACTGCTGAAAGGGCATTTGTTCAGTTATTAATTAAATTCATTAGAGTTATGTTGAAGTTATTTAAGTGTCCTTTTCAACGGTGTTCTTGCCAAATCTTCAGACTACTTTTTAAAGTTTCTGAGTTAGGTGTGGGTAACTGTTGAACAGGAAAGTTACGAACCTCTATATGTGTGTGGTATGTACATGCTTTTTCAACTGTGTCTGAAATTGGATCTTTTGTGATATTTAGCTTTATACCATTTAATTAAAAAACAATGATTGTAAAAAAATGTGGGGATTTTAGGCAATTGATTTTATATTTGTGTGCTTTGGCATGTGTATTGATGAATTAGTTGTCTGTATATAGAACTGGTCCTTTAAACTTTCTTGCATTTCAGTACATGATTTCTGTATTTCTTTGGCACTTTAGTGGCCCTTCTTAGGACAAGGAAACTCTTGTTCCACAATATTATCTCTTAAAGAATATTGGAAATGACTTCTGAGTATGAAAATGATTGCGTGTGGAGTATCAAAACCTAAATGGCAGTCCTTGGCTGAGTTCAGACTGGCAGTTTGCCCCGATACAGGCACGAGCCAGAAATGTTTCACAACCGGATTAAAGGGGCCGTTCACACAGGCACATGTGTCCGGCGTTCCCCAGCCGTACTCAACCCGTCTCGTAACGCTTCCCTCCCGAGTTTAAAAGATACCAGGTGAAAGTGGTATCAAACTCTGGAAAGCGCGATTATCCTGTGTCCATCCCGTACCAACAAAGTGTGAATGTCGAAAGCCGCGTTTTTTTCAGGACACCCACGTTTTTCTCCTCCCGGTGTAACAGGCCGGATTAACCCCCCGGGCAGATGCTTCCGCATCAGTCGCTGCAGTGTGAATGGGAAAACCCGGAACAGTTTGTTCCGGGTCTTTTTTGCCACGAGTCCCTCCCACTTCAAACTGCCAGTCTGAACTTGGCCCTTAATATGTCTGTTGGTGTATGGGAAAGGGAGAGACTTGGAACAAATTTGGCAGTTTGAGCACAGTCAAAGGAACTGTTGTAGATTCTGCTATTGATAAATCTAGGAGAAGTCTGGGGCAAAATGGTTTTGGCAGGTGGTATTCTGAAAGCTGCTTCACACAAAACAAAAAATCTCTTAGAGGGAGGTCGTGCACACAAGTCTGTCTTGTCAACATGCAACAGAATACGTATATGCATTAGCCACAGGTAATAAAGTACTTGTGAGGTTCATGACATGGCCATCTCATGGAAGTGATTTCTGCACAGGAAAATTTCAGTTTGTGTGAAATGGCCCTAAGCCTCTCCAAATCTTCTATCTGTCTAACAAGCATGTGTGGTTTTTTTTCTCTTCACGTGCTAACTGTATCTATTTAAAAAATTTGAAACACTCACGGCATAGACTCTTCTGATGGGATCCACAGTTCCACTCTGCTCAGCTCAATGGGAGAGGATGTTTAATACCTCCCGTATTCCAGGAGAAGAAACAGGTAAGATGGACCAGCTGAAGCCCAAGAATCCTAAAGAGTGTGAAATCCTCACCAGTGTTTCTTCTTGAATATATCAGGCTGTTAACAAATATTCATATTTGCAGTATATAATTTGAGGGAAACGGAGTGAATTGTATTTTTAAAGTAAGTGGTAGCCACTGACACGGAAAACTCAAACCATGTTAAAATAACCAAATAATAACCAAAGACTTCAACTTGTAGTTTGAGACATTTTGCTTGTTCCTTCCCTTTTTCAAAAAAGCTGTTCCTGGGAAATTATTTTCTATCATTTTTGGATTTTTTGGGGTGATAATTTCTCTTTATGTTTCCATTCCTTCAGGTCCTCTTGGTTTCCCTTGCCTTCTTAACCTTCATGGGAGTTTATGTGCTCCATATAGCTTCACTGTTCTAAACATTTTGAGAGTGGGGTTGACTTTCCTTCTTTCCTTTCAGCTTATGATTTACAATACTGTCCCAATGTGCTCTTCTCAGTATGAACGTATGTTCAACACTAGTCGTATACCGGGCACAGAGACAGGTACAGTGTTAGTCCTGTCAATATATTTGGCCCCCGTTTGCATTTTAATTTAATTTAAATGTGTATGTCACAAAAGATTGACTTCAGACTATAGTATTTGCATATTGGTGAGGCTGTGTGATTTTTTGTAATTGAGAATTCATTGTAATTTTATCAGTGTGTGCTATAAGATCCATTTCTTAAAAGTTATGAACCATTTCAGTGTTATAGTAATCCAATAATAAGTGGATTGATGCAAGATAAAGTTAATAGTCAGAGTTGACTTCAGCCATCTGGGCTCATCAACTTTAGCATTTCTAATCTGCTTTAGGATGCCAAAGAGGCATTCAAGGCAGAGTACAACATTAAAAAATACAAAATTACTATAGTACAAAAGAAAAAAAAATCAATGCAACTATATTAAAAATAATTTCTGAAAACCAGAACACAAATGTATATATTTTTAAAAAACACACTGCCAGAAACATCCTTGGAAAGCACATCAGCATAAGATCAAACCAGGATATCTTCAGCCTCCATTGAAAGGCTCTTGAAGAGACAGATTTTGACTGGTCATCAAAACATCAAGAGAAAATAGCCAGGTCACGTTCTGGTAGAAATGCATTTCAGAGCATGACACCAACCCAAAGAAGACCATGTGATTTTATGCTCTTGCAAATCCCATTTCTTTTAGAAGGGACATTGAGCAAGACCACCAATACAGATGTAAGGTGAGAATGTATAGAAGGATGCTGGTGGATACTTTTCCACATAGTGTTTCTTTCTTACTTTTGTAAATCGTGATGGGAGATGAGGCTGGTTGTGTGAAACCAACCTAAGTAGGCAGAACATGTTTTAAACATTACTCTAATAAACTAATTTTCTATTGATAAAATTGTATTTATCTTGTTCCATAACAATATAGGTCAATAGTGGTATGAGTTGACTGCTAGGCATCACGGTAAGAAGTCTGTGATCATACTCTGCTCTTATGCCGACTCAATATTTTTTAAAGCCTTATATATGCAGCTGAGCTGTAGAGTGATGGACAGAAAGTTGAACGAGTCTCTTTCCTCTTCAAAGGACAGATACATGATAGTCTTAGGATGTATTTCCTGCAGAGACGATTTTATGCCTTCAAATGTGCATGCCTCTATATTATATTATTTCAAACTGACCAGAGATGGGAGGAAGCAAGACCTTGGAATCAAAGTAGGCAGGGTACATAAGGTTGAAGGTATACTCACTGTAGTTTCCTAACATTATTAACTGTGTGCTGCAAAAAAGACCATTGGTGATAAAAAAAAAAATGGATCCCCTTACATATAGGAACGGACGCAAATGGTTCATATACTTCTTCTGAAGTGGGCCTTGCAAAACACCCATCTAATAATTCATACTGTAACTGTTAATTAATTTGGAAGAAGTCTTCAACATTTTACCTACTCTTCTGCCTAATTTTAATTTCATTAAGTGACTTTACTTTTTGAATAATCTCTCAATTATCTAAAATCACTACTAATGCCCTCAATAATACTCCTTATTTCATATGTCATTTTTCTTAAGCTTTGCACAGCATGTTAATCTTTGATAATGAAAAATGATAAATGTTTACATTTGAGTTATTATTTGTTGGCTTTACTTTGAAACAATTATTTTACTCTGTGTGACTTAACTCACAGGTAGTGCTTTTCACCTTAGTGAAAGGTTTGATATCTGCACCACTTGTCTCCACAGCATGAATGTGGCAATATTTACATTTATTGGCTGTAAAAACCGATATTAAACTGTGTAGCTTGATTTATCTCCTGTGATTATGAATACTCATCATGTCCCCTGTCAAAACGTCAGAGGAGATGGGGGGGGTGTTAGCTTCCTCTCTGGGGTAAGTTTTGATGTAGGGTAAAACAGTCCCAGGAAGTCCCTCCCAAACAAATTATTCTCTGTGTAAAAGAGTGCCATACTACCCTTTTGTAATAAAGAACTGTACTAGCTCAGCCAATGAATGTTTGAATCTTTCCACAAAGGGGAGCAGTGGTGAGTAAGATACAAACTTGTCTTTGAAGAGTAGTGTATATGCGTACTCCTGAGCTGTTTTTATATGGAAATTCCTCCCCAATGGAGGTCTCGTGCGGTTTAACCTCTCAGTAGGGACGCACTCAGCTTTATTTATTTATTTATTTATATTTATTAATTAGTTAATGCTCCGCCTTTCTTCATGGTTAAAGGCAGCTTGTCAGTGGAATTTGGCTGAATTACAGGACTCTGTCTCAATCAAAGTGTATATTCCAAAACATATATTCAATAGGATAGCACAAGGCAGGGGTGCTTGCCTTTTTGAGCCTGCAGGCACCTTTGAAATTCTGACATAGTATTGTGGGCGCTGCCACAAAATGGCTGCCATGGCATGTGTAGCCAGCTACAAAATGACTGTCACAGCTTACTTTCAGTCACACAGTGAAGATGCTTGTGCTGTGGTAGTAGCTGCTGCCAAAGTAACATTTTTTAAAATCTGCACAACCAGTCGGAAGCCTGGCTGTGGGGAAAAGTCCATCTGGCCCCGCCCACTTTCTAGAAACACTCAGTGGGCACCAGGAGAGGCATATTATGGCACCCCCAGGCACCACATTGGGCACCCCTGGCATAAGGCCTGCAAACAGACGTTAGAGGTGGTCGTCCTTGTGAGCCTAGATTACAAAAAAGCGGCAACTTTATACAGCACAGCATTTGAATATTAAGTATGTTTTTAATGTAGAATTTTTAAGCAGAAATGGACAGGATATGTGATAAGCCTGTGTCTAAAAACAAATTAAGATTGGGTAAATGGGTTTTGCATGATAAATTGTTTTACAATTTGGAGTTGTGCTACTTTGGTCAAAATTTTATACTATCAAAAGCTTGCTCAATTCTAAACTTTGGGTTGTAATTTTAGATACTATCCAGCACATAAAAGACAGCAAGCACCTCGTTGTGTACCATAAAGGATGCTACTACAAAGTATGGCTGTACTATGATGGCAGACTACTGGCTCCCCGGGAGATTGAACACCAGATGCAGTGGATTTTAAATGACAAATCAGAGCCCCAGCCTGGTGAAGAAAAGTTAGCAGCTCTTACTGCGGGAGATAGGTGTGATCACTTTTAATTGCTATTTTTTTGCATAATTGACGACATTTAGGCCTTTTCCGACTCTTAAAATAATCTAGTTTGCTTCAATATTTTTATGAACAATCTGTGGTTTACAACTCTTCGTTAAGTGTTAACACAACTTTCCTGTGTTCTTATAATCTTCAAGTACTTCAGACCTCTGGCTCCTTCAAACAGATTGCAGGCTTCTGTTTTTTTGTGGGTTTGCAAGACAAATTAATTTTGATGAAAGTGCTAGCTGATACCGATATGATTTTTACTTTCCTTAGCATCACATAGCATTACTTCTCAAACAAAGGCCCCTGCCACACGGGAGGGAAAAACACCGGTCAAAATAGACACGCCGCAGCGGGATCCCATGGATCCCATGAGCCACGGCGCCGTTGCTCCCCAGCACGATCAGATGCCGGGGAGAAAGCCATGGTCGGGAGACCAAGGCAGCCGGCTGCGCATGCGTGTGCATGCACAGTTCGGGCAGGAGCCGGGGATGCGGCGGCAGAAGGACGCACCGGCGATCCCACGGCTGCGCTTGCTGCGGCCGTTCAGGTAAGACCTCCACAGGAGGTGGTTTAGTTTAGATGCGGGTTTTCGGCCAGAAGGGCCGGATCAGGGACGGGTGCGCAACGTTTCCCAGATGTTGCGGTGGGATCGCGCCCATTTGCTGCGCCCCCGATCCGTCCCTCTGCCAGTCCAAAACCTTTTGTGTGACCGGGGCCAAGGAGCACCATTATTAGTGCATTTTTGTCCTACCCTTCAAGAAGCTCTGGGCAGATTGGATATTTCTCTGTACATCCATTTTGTCCTCATAACAGCCCTGTGAAGTAGACTGGGCTGAGAGAAAAACTGGCCTGAGGTCACATGGTAAATTTCATGGCAAGCAGGAATTTGAATCTGTGTCTCTTGAGCCTGACACTATTTTGCATATCTTATGAATAGTGTAGCTATTGAAACCATTATTGTACTACTGTCTTCAGCAAAGGCGTTCAAAACAGCTTACCAATAACTTGAAATAATATAAAAACTTAAAAATACCATCACATCAGAACTGCATTTAAAAAAACCCCAAACCTGGGTAAATAAGTGTGCTTTAGCACCAAAATCTTACAGAAGTCTAGTGGCATCTTAAAGACTAATAACATTCAGGCCTGTGGCTATAGTGGGGCCTCTTGGGGGCCAGCCCCCCAACTTACCACCAAGGCCCCCCTGACTTCCAATTTTTAATTTTATATATTGTGCTCAGCGCCAGCAAGCCCCACACCGCGCTCCAGTCCCACGCCACTCTCTCTCACCGGCCACAGCCTCTCTCTCTCATTGTCACCGAGCTGGCAAGAAATCAAGCCCCACATTGCCCTCCAATCCCATGCCGTTCTCGCACTGGCTCCCCTGCCCAAAGAATGCCTGGTTGGTTGCAGAGAAGGCCGGGAGCAGGGCTGCTCGCTTGGGGGGGGGTGCCCACCAAATTAAAAAATCCTGGTTTATGGGCCTGATAACATTTATTCCAGAGTGAGCGCAGATCTTACTTCTTCAGATACTGCGAAGAAGAAATCATATTCCACATTTTTATGGTGAGAATTACTGAAGGAAGGAGGGGAGGAGCTGGCATTTATATTATAGAGCATCATCATTGACATGGTTAAAAGAATGGATTACATTATAAAATACCAGTTTATTAATGTTAGAAGGACATAAATTATTATTAGGATGGCATGTGTTTATTAGCTATGGAAAAGCAGATACTCATAAATATTTTAAACATTTTATCAGGAGATCCTTATTGAAGGTATGGGAAGAAGTTAAAAGACTTTTTTATACCAAAATACCAAAATGGGTTTCACCTTTAAAAGCGTTCACAAACCCAAATTTATTTTTAAAAAATGCACTGTTATAAAGATCTGTTGGATAACAAAAATGAACTAAAACCAATAGAAAACCTTAAAATACAAGAATCCAACTTAAGTTGGTGGGAAAGAGCTCAAACAGAATCAAGATATGCCAAAGATAAACAAATGGGTTTTTATTCAAGAATAACAAAAATGGACAAGATATTGTTACATACTGATGAGATATTCTTTTTGAGGTTGGTTATACTCACTAATTTGATGTGACTTCTGTGTATTGTGCCAGAGTACCTTGGGCCAAGGCGCGCCAGACATACTTTGCCCGTGGAAAGAACAAGCAGTCCTTGGATGCCATTGAAAAGGCAGCTTTCTTTGTTACTTTGGATGACACTGTTCAGGGTTACAGGGAAGAGGATCCAGTGATATCAATGGATGCCTATGCAAAGGCACTTCTGCATGGCAAGTGCTATGACAGGTACATTACCAAGTACATGGAACATAAATGCTGTGGGATCCTAAAAGGCCTTGAGCGATCTGGGAGCGATGTGTCTGCGGGACTGCCTCTTCTGTTACACCCCCGGGACAGCATCACGGTCTTCAGACAACAGCTTGCTGGTGGTCCCCAGCCCTAGGGATGTCTGGCTGTCCTCAGCCAAGGGCAGGGCCTTTTCAGCCCTGGCCCCGACCTGGTGGAACTCTCTGCCAAATAACATCAGGGCCCTGTGGGGTCTTATGCAATTCCGCAGGGCCTGCAAGGCGGAGATGTTTCACCAGGCGTTTGGTTGAGGACAGTGATGGTTGACATCATGGCTGGCACCCTACCTGGACCCGGTCCCCGTCCCCCTCCCCCGTATGTGCGTAGCACTCACAGATGGGAGGGAACTGCAACAATTTTCACCCCTTGCTTTTAATTATTGAATAAGGCCAGATACGGCTTTTATATGTTTTTATGGTTTTAGAATGTTGTACATCGCCTAGAGCCCCACGGTGGTGGGGATTAGGCGATCAATAAATGTAATATAATAAATAAATAAAATTACACACTCAACTTCATTTTACAGTAGGCAGAGTAGCAGGTTTGCTTTGTAACCTGCTACTCCGGTATATCTTTCTCTGACGTTCAAGATAATGCAAACTGCTTTTCTGATTAGCAGTGTGCGCAAGGGTAGCATGATTTTCTTCACCATAGCTTAGTACAATCTGTATGGTTACCACAGTTTTACACAGGGGATATTCACATTTAAATGATGGCTTTTACTTTGTAGATCTATGTTAAGATGTATGCTATTTTTTTCTTATGTTACCATTCAGTGAAGTGTTCCTGAATGTGTCTAAAAGCATGTGTATATTATACCTGTTTAATTATCATTGCTTTTCTTAACGATTCATAGGAACTGTACTTTTTGGTGAGGCTACTGAGAATCTACACACATACACACCCAGTTCCTTGGGAGAACAAGTGATAGCTTGCCTTTAATGTAGATATGCCTGAATTATAACTCTTGGTTAAAATCAAATTATAACTGTTGGTTAAAATCATCATCATTATCATGTGCTAATTATCAGTCTTTTTTGTTTCTTTTTATGTGGCGTGTAATGAAATCATACCTCCCAATTACAGGCAGCCGTATATGGCGCTAATATCTTAAATGTTAAAATCCCCAAATATTTCCTATAATGATGAACCTCATATGCTTCATCCTTCGCACTGTTGTGCATTTGCTGCTTTAAATGTATAGCTAATTACTTTGGTATTTGATTTTAGGTTATTTTTCATGTGCTAATGCTCAAAGATCAATCCTGACATATTGAATAACAAATGAGAAATTTTCTGTCTTTCATAGGTGGTTTGACAAGTCATTTACTTTCATAGTGTTCAGGAATGGTAAAATGGGCTTGAATGCTGAACACTCCTGGGCAGATGCTCCTGTTATGGGGCATCTTTGGGAGGTAAGTAACTATGACAAATAGAAATAAAGTAGCAGACATTGCAGCATACCTGTCTTTTTAAACAAACTAAGTATTTCACTGCTGATTTTACTTTTGGCCCAAAATGCACTTTGAGATAGTAGCTCCTTATTTATGTATTTTTTAAAATCTGCCCATCCAAATCAGTGAAAATTCTAGGAGTATGAAATAGCTTTCATGGTACTGCTAATGAGGACTAAAATACTAGAAGGTTCAAGGTGATTTTCTTCTTCCCATTCCCGTCCTGTTCTTGACCTAGTGATAAGAGTGTACTGTAGTTAGGTAAGTGAAGAAGTGGTAAATCAGTGCAGTAAAACTTAGAGATTCCAGTACTCTTGACAAACAACTTCAGAATTTTTAAGTTGGTCCTTTAATTGTAAAGGAACTTCTTTTATAAAGAATCACTGATGGATCTTGGTGGTGCGAAGCGGCCAACAAATTTTCTGTTAAATATTCTATTCGAAGAGCATCCAACTGAATACCTGAATGCCCAGCAAATAGAGGTTAGGACAGGTCAAGTGCTATGCTTGATTTTATTCACACAAAAGGTTTTCTGTAGAAAACATGAAGAAAGCATGATCTGTAGAAGTTTGACATTTTAACATATTGGTGTTAAATCTGGTATTCTGAGACTTATTATTTCACAGTTTATGGCTAAAAGAGTTCTTACAATCAAAGCTGAATAACTGGTGAAATTCACATATTTTGTAATCTAATTCAGTTCACTGGCTCATGGTGAAAAGGATTGCGCGTTCCCACCTCCTTGCCGTTTAAAGAGAACAAAGGCCACGGGAAGAGAGGAAGAGAGCTGTAAAACTCGAATCCTCGCGCATCTGTGTGCCGGATGCTGTGGGATGTCTAACTAAAGACTTCAATTCCCAGGGAGCACTGCTCTTAAAGATATATGGCAGTTCTACTTAACTACAGTTTAAAACGCTGGCTGGGGCAGCACAATACCTACATGCTGAAGAGATAAAATTAGCCATTTTTATAGGTCTAAAGTACAAATAAAAGTTGTGAAATACAAATCTTAACAAGTGTCTGTTGATATTTTTACATTCTGGTTCTAAAGTGTTTTCTGAAGAGTAAAAAACCCCACTGATTCTAGTCAAAGTTCCCTGTTTTAAAACAGGACTCACAATGTGTGTATTTTCTCCGCAGAATGTCATGTTTTCCGACTGTCTTGAATTGGGCTATACAGAAGATGGCCATTGCAAAGGAGAAATCAGTTCAGGCATTCCTATGCCTACCAGGCTACAGTGGGAAATTCCTGAAGAGGTAAACACAACACCAGTTATGGATTAAAATTATAATTGTTTTTCTCCTGAATCAAGTGTATTGCTGCCTAGTTCTGAATAGAGATGCTTGTTGGTCTGATTAGTCATTGGGTGCATCCAACTAGGAAGCTTTTTCATGACTTCTACTACAGAAGAAAAAGTACTGTGGTGTTGGCATGTCATGAACACACAGAAGTGCCATAAAATGTTTGGTGGTGATTGTAATCGGGTTGGATTTCTCCTGTTTTTAGCTGAAGCAACCTTGCTCAGTTTCCCTCTTATGCTGCCCTCCCGCCTATATGTCATTTATTTATTTATTACATTTGTTAATCACTCAAGCCCTGCAGGGCTCTGGGCGATGTACATCATTCATAAAAACATCAAGATAAAACAATTAAAACATTCATAAGGTATTTCAAACAAAAATATGGCATATATGAATTTGTGCCATTACAGACTGTTGACCACTTCACGGGCAGGGGGGAAGAAGGTAAAACAGATATGGAAAGCATCTGGAACAGAAGGGGCACTAGCTATGATGGAAACCGTTGCTATCCTCAACCAAAGGCCTGGCGGAACATCTCTGGCTTACAGGCCCTGCAGAATTGCATTAAGTCCCGCAGGGCCCTGATGGTATTTGGCAGAGAGTTCCACCAGGTTGGGGCCAGGACCAAAAAGGCCCCGGCCCTGGTTGAGGACAGCAGGGGTCATTTTGGAGGAAAAGAGTTGCAGGAGCTCATTAACATAACTTATTAGCGTAACTTATTTGCATATGCCACACCCCCTGACTTCACTGGAAGTGTGTCAGAAAGCAACACCCACCACTCAGGCTCCACTGGACTGTTTTGGATGGGGGGGGGGAATGCGCAGATCTGCCCTCGCAGAGGAGGGAGAGCTTGTACCTGAAGGCGGGCTGGGGGGGGCTCTGCAACTTACCTGGCTGCTTCTTGTTCCTTGTGGCCCGACTGAGGGCTGCTGGGAGCAGGGGGTGGTGCTTGTTGCATGTACCTGCCCCCTGGGCTCCTTACTGCCGGAGCGCCGCTCCTGTGCGCTCCCGCAGGAAATGACGTGTGGAGGACAGCCAGATAGCTTTAGGGCCGGGGACCACCACAGCAAGTTGTTATCTGAAGAGCGTAATGCTCTTCCAGGGACATAATGGAGGAGATGATCCTGTAGATATGCTGGTCCTTGACCACTCAAGGCCTTGTAGGTCAATACAAAAGGGAATTAGATAAGCATATGGAGCAGAGGTCCATCAGTGGCTATTAGCCACAAGGTATAGATAGGGACTCTGGGGCAAGTGATGCTCTGTCATCTTGGTGCTTGGGGGGGGTCAACAGTGGGAGGGCTTCTAATGTCCTGGTGGAGGACAGCCAGATAGCTTTAGGGCCGGGGACCACCACGGCAAGTTGTTATCTGAAGAGCATAATGCTCTTCCAGGGACATAATGGAGGAGATGATCCTGTAGCTATGCTGGTCCCTGACCACTCAAGGCCTTGTAGGTCAATACCAAAACCTTGAACTTGACTTGGTATTCCACTGGAAGCCAGTGTAGCTGGCACAGCACTGGATGTATATGTGCCATCCATGATGTTCCCATCAGGACTCGCGCCACCGCGTTCTGGATCAGTTGGAGCTTCCGGGTCAGTTTCAAGGGCAGGCCAGCGTAAAGTGAGTTGCAATAATCTAGCCTGGAGGTGACCGTTACATGGGTTTTGTGCATGTGGGTTGCTTGGTCCCTGGCATAGCCTTTCAGGGGATCAAAAGGAGCTGCTAGTAGAAAGGGAAAGTGTGGAACGTTCTGTTTCTGCCAGTGGAGAATTGGAAAGATAAACCTGTACCTTCTTTAAAGCCAAAATAACATTGCTAAATGAAGACTCTTAACTTTTCATTTTGGTTTTTATTTTGTACTGCTTTTGGTGTAATGTGACATTTATATTGCTGTTTAGTGCCAAGAAGTGATAGAGAGGTCCCTGGAAATTGCAAGGCCATTAGCGGATGATGTGGACTTCCACTGTTTTCCTTTTGACACATTTGGGAAAGGATTAATGAAGAAAACAAAAACTAGTCCTGATGCTTTTGTGCAACTTGCCCTTCAGCTTGCTCACTACCGGGTAGGTTTCACTGGCATTTGCTTGTAAAACTGGTATAGAAAATGTTTTTATTCAGGATCATAGTCAAGCTCTAGTCCACCTGCTACTATGTTAGTTGCAGCAGAAATTGTACCAAGCTCTTAATCATCTGCTGTGAAGAGATTTATGGTTCCATACATTAATTTTGTGACTCACAACTACATACTCCATGCAAATGTATTGGAAGGTGATATCCTTTTTAATACGTGTGTGGAAGTGTGAGCATAGACTGTACAAAGGCAAATCTATTCTTAACCTTCAAGGATCATAAGTTTCAAGAAGCATGTGATGCTATTTGCATTATATTTTTGTCTTCAAAATGTTTTTGGTGGAGTTCCTTCCTGAAGTCTTTGAAGGAGATATGTGACAGGTGGGTGTCAGTTCCTACGGGAAACTGATAATGACAAATGTGGTTTTCACAATGGAAGAATGTACTGTCAGGCTCGTGCGTGTCCCGGGGGGGGCGCCCCCAGAGGCCGTGGCGCCGGCGGGTAGTCCTGGGCGGAGGGGCGACTCCCGAAGGTCGGCAAGGGAATCTCCGGAGAGCTCGGGACCTCAGACTGACAGGAGACGGGGTTAACAGCACCCCCACGGTCTCTCAGTCTGGATGCTACGATGCCCTGTTTCTCTCTCTCTCTCAGCGTCAGGATCGCTACTGCATCACCTCCTCCCTGGTCCCTGTCTCTGCCGGGCTTTTATTACTCGTGCCGTACATTCGGTGCCGCCCCTTCCTCTCCCGGGTGAAGGCCCCGCCCCCCTTTATATGGAGGAACGCCGGCAGGGCGTTTCCCCGCCCGCTGGCAGGTCCGCCGCTGGCGGTCTCAGTGGCTCCTCGGCCGCGCCGCCGCCGTGCAGTTCCCGCCCCCCCGCCAGCCCCAGAGGTGTCCCCGGGGCTCCTTGCGGTCGCGGCTCCTCTCGGGCCGCGCCGCCCGCTCCTGGCGCGCCCGCCGCTCCGCTCTCCTGCCGCCGCATCCGGGCTTGTTGGGCGATTGCTGCCGGGTGAGTAGGCCCGAGGGTCGGGGTTCGGGGGTCCTTCTTTTTCTTGCCCCTCCCCTGGGGTCTCCTGGTCCCGGACTTCGGGAATGGAACATGTACATAGTTGGGTCTCTGAAGTCTATGAGGTAACTAAGTTTGCAGACTTCAAAGTGTTAAAAATAGTAAAATCCAAAAGGGTCTTTCCAAAATGGGTGGCTGCAGGGCTTTTTAAAATTTATTTGAAAAAGAGGTGCTGGAACTCTCAAGAGGGAAATGAAGTTCTCCGGTTGCTGGGTGAGTGGGACAGTCCTTTACTTCTGGGATAAGCTCCTCCTCCTCAAGCAGAGTCGGCCTTGAAGCTTTGATCCAGGTGGGGGAAGGGCTTGTCCCCTGGGACTCTCCCAGTCTTGCCAGCCCTGCCGACTTAGCAGGACGAGTCTGAGCAGTGCTCCTTCAGCGCTGTGATCCAGGAATAAAAGCAGAGGAAGAGAAGACCGTTTTAAATTCGAGCTGCAATTGGCGGCATTGAAAAGCAGCCAGTGGCACCGGGAGAACCCTGGTAAGCCACAGCTGAACAGCAGGCTCCCACCAGTCTCTAACCCTCGGGCAAAAGAGACCTCCCTCGTTCAATGATCCCCAGAGGGACAGTGGAGCCTGCAGCAGTGGCAGGATGACGCTGAAGATCCGGTGCTCTCCCTGGCCGTAACAACTACGGCAGAAGCCTGCAGCTGGGGTCCTCACCACCTCCCCCAGTAGTCCTCTTCTGGATATTAGGGAGAGAGACTCTACGTCTACACCATCCTCAGGTAAGGAAGAGGGTGAACTCTCTGAGGAAGAGGAGGAGGTAGTACCCATGGTGCAGTCTCGACTGTTTCCACAGGAACTGTATACACACATTCCCAAAGGTACTGAGAACCTTAGATCTATCCACTACACCAAAGGAGAAGGACAATTCTGACCTGGAATTCCAACTAGGTTCTGGTAAACTGATGCCAAAGAGATCAGAGAGTCAATCAGGGTTGCCACTCCCAGCAGCTTTCTATAATATAATGACAGTAGAATGGGAAAATCCCACGAGGCTCAAGGCTAATCACCCATTTTCCCCCCTAAATTCTATTCCTTAACTCCAGAAGCTACTGGGAGACTTAAGTTGTCAGTAGTGGATGAACCAGTCACCAGCCTGATCTCCAATTCTGTCTTACCAATGGAGGCAAATGGCCTGCCAAAGGATCAGTGTGACAAGAGAATTGAACAAGCACTGAGAAGAGATTTTGAAGCTTCCTCTTTGATCCCTGAGGGCATCCACAGTAGGGTTGCTGTTTGCCAGAGATGCCTATGATTGGGCTTCAGAATTGGCATCAGCTGAAAGTAATATACCCAAAGAACTCAAGGATGAGTTTAAAAAGATTGCTCTGGCAACAGCCTTTGCTGCTGATGCAACCTTGGACGCCTTGCAGCAGTCAGCCAGAGCTATGACATGCAGCGTGGCAGCAAGAAGGAACAATTGGCTAAGGAACTGGGATGTGGATTCCTCAGCACAGGCGAAGGTGGCGGCCATCCCATTCAAAGGAGGTAATCTGTTTGGTGAGGGCCTGGATAAGTACCTTATAGAAGACAAGGACAAGAAAAAAGTCCTGCCACCTAAAAAGAAAGACAACAAATCATGCAAAAAGTTTCAGTCCTTTCAGGACTTCAAGAAAGGAAATAAGCCCAACTACTCCAGATCATTCAAAAGAAAATGGCAAACCAGGCCACGTGATAAGCCTTCCTTCCATCAAAAAGGGGACCAGAACCCCAATACCAAGAAGGGAGTTTCAGCATGACTACTCAAGTACACCGGAGCTCTTGGGGATAGGAGGCAGACTTCGGCATTTCACATGACATTGGAAAACCGTGGTAAATGACACATGTGTCCTGGACACAGTGGCCAACAGATATGCTTTGGAATTCAACACCATTCCTCAAGATCAGTTCCTTCAAATCCCAAGGAATCAGTCAGTGGTCAAACACGAACTAGTAGAAGGGGCAATTCAACACCTCCTGGACAGAGGTGCCATAGAATGGAATTCACAACTGGCCCAGGGGGTATATTCAGTTTTTTCTTAGTTCCAAAAGAGAACGGAGACGTCAGGGACATCCTGGACCAAAAATGGCTTAAAAAGTACATCAGGACCAGGAAGTTCAGAATGGAGACCCTGAGGTCCATTCTCTCAGCCATTCAGGCCCAGGATTTCTTAACATCTGTCAATCTCCCTGAGGCCCACTTGCATGTTCCAATCCGTAAGGCGCACCACAGGTTTCTGAGATTTGCCTATGAAATACAACATTTCCAATACTGGGCCCTCCCATTTGGCCTAAAATCCTCCCCGAGAATGTTCACAAAAATCTCAGTGACAGTGGTTGCTCACCACAGGTTACAGGGGGTAGCTCTCTTCCCTTACCTGGACGACATCCTAGTGAAAGCTCCATCGCTACAACAAAGCAAGGAAGCATACAAGAGCACAGTCCAAGCCCTGTGCGATCACGGGTTTGTGATCAATTGGGAGAAGAGAAACCTCCAACCAACTCAAAAATTGGTTCTTCTGGAGGTGTTAAGAGACACCCAGAAGGACAGAGTGTTCTTGTCCCAAGAAAGGGGACAAAAAATCAGTCTCCTGCTGTCGGAAGTACTAAAGAAATCCAGAGCAGAGTTGATGGTAGTAACCAAGTTATTATGAAATATGGTGTCCTGTCAGGACATAGTTCACTGGTCAAGATTTCACACCCGACCCCTGCAGAGATTTTTGCTTCCATATCAGGATGCAATAGCACACAGGAGATACAAGGTGCTCCAACTACCTGAGAGGCTGTGCCAACAACTAGGGTGGTGGCTGGATCCCTTGTGCAGGGCTCCCCATTAAGAGACCCATTGAGAGTTGTAATGACTACAGATGCAAGCCTGTGGGGCTGGGAAGCACACTCAAAAGGGCGGATGACGCAGGGAACCTGGTTTCTAGAGGAAACCTCAGAGTATAAATTTCCTAGAACTCAGAGCCATAAAGTTGGGGTTCCTGAAATTTGAGGACTTCCTCTCGGGGCAGCATGTGCTGGTCCAGATGGACAACATGACTGCAAAAGCCTATGTGAACAGGCAAGGGGGAACCAGACATCAATCACTCCACAAGGAGGCATGCAGCCTGTTCAGGTGGGTGGAGGTTCACCTGCAATCAATAAAAGCAGTACATGTGGCAAAAAGAGACAACATTCTAGTGGACTGGTTGAGCCCGAGGCAGGTAAATCAGTCAGAGTGGTTGTTAAGCAAAGCAGTATTCAATCAGATTTGCAACAGATTCAGGACAGTAACACTGGACCTCTGCCACGAAACAGAATTGTCAAGTTCATCAATTCATGTCAAGAAGAAAAAATCAGTATGCGGTAGGGACAGACTCTCTCAATTGCGACTGGCCAAAGGGTCTGTTATATGCCTTCCCACCGATACAGTTAATCCACAAGGTGCTACAAAAAGTGAGGGAGCAGAAGGCAGAGGTAATCCTGGTAGCTCCGTTTTGGCCAAGAAGGGCCTGATTTCAGGAATTAAAAAGTCTCTTCAAAAGAGAACCGTGGTGTCTACCCAGGCAGGGGGATCTTCTGATGCAGGGGATGACAAGTCACCTTCAGCCGGGACTGCTCAGCCTTACAGCCTGGAGGTTGAGCAGAAATTGTTAGAGGGCGTGGGTTTCCTGGACAGAGTTATAAACACCATGTTAGCTTCTAGAAAGGGGTCCACTAATAAGATGTATAATGTGACTTGGCAAGTGTTCTGCTCATGGTGGGCAGATCATAACTTGGACCCACTAAGAGCCGTTGTCAAAGATGTCTTGATATTTCTACAGGATGGGATCGACAAAGGGCTTAGTACGAGCACCCTGAGGAGACAAGTTTCGGCTATCTTGGCCATATGGAGACTTAAGAAAGGAAAATCTTTGTTGCAACACCCACACCTTTTTAAGGGGGACAACATTTTTAGGCCACTGCAGGTGCACCACTTGCCAACATGGAATCTTAATACAGTTCTCAGGGCCCTGTGCAGACCCGCATTCGAACCCATGGCATCCTGCCCACTAAAGGAGCTAAACTTCAAAGCGCTATTTTTGGTGGGGGTAACCTCAGCCACAAGGGTATTCAAACTGAGGTCATTATCAGTTATTAGGGAACTTTGCATATTTCACAATGATAGGTTGGTTCTTCATACAGATCCGTCCTTAATTCCTAAAGTGAATTCCACATTCCATAGGACGGAAGAGATTAATTTGCCTTCCTTCTGCCAAACCCTAAACATGAGGAGAGGTAATGGCATTGCCTGGACGTCTGTAGGGCACTCAGCTATTATACTGAGAGGACAAAGCCATGACGGCAATCAGAGACACAGTTTGTGTCATTCCAGAAATCATCTATGGGTACGCAGGTCTCTACCTTGACCTTAAGCAGATGGATCACAGGGTGTATTATAGAGGCCTACAAAGCCATGGGGCAAGATCCATCAGAGGGGATTAAAGCACACTTCTTAAGGGGGGGCCTACCTCAGCGGCCTATAGATCCTTTCCTTCACTTGAAATAATTTGCAAAGCAGCCACCTGGAAGTCAGTACATTCCTTTACCTCGGCTAAGGCAGCTCTCAGCCGCAGAGTTTTACAATATGCCCTGTAAACAGAGAAGCTGACTACTCCCTCCCCTGGGGCACACTGCTTTTTCATGTCCCAGAAGTAAAGGACTGTCCCACTCACTGAACCACCAGAGAATGGAAGGTTATCTTCACTTACTGTGAATCTTTCTTTCTCAGTGGCTTGGGAGTGGGACAGTCCTGCCCGCCTGTGAGGACAGGGGAGTTAGATCAGGTACGCAAAAAAAAAGTGTGTTCATTTTCATGTGACTGTGCAGGCAGGTGCATATAGGTACCTAAGATGTTCATGTGTATAGGGTTCAGAGATTACTGGAACTGGGAGACAGTTCCTTAGGTCAGTTGGAGAGTACTCACTCCTGTTGGGTGGAAGTGTGTTCTTTCCCTCTGACAGCTTACTTGGGGGGAGACACGGCTCGGAACAGACTGGGAGAGTCCCAGGGGACAAGCCCCTCCCCTGCCTGAATCAAAGCTTCAAGGCTGACCCTGCTTGAGCAGGAGGAACTTATCCCAGAAGTAACGGACTGTCCCACTCCCGAACCACCGAGAAAAGAAGACTCACGGTTAATGAAGATAACCTTCCATGTTCAATCTGTATACTGAAAACTCGTGAACTTTTAAACATTATAAAAAGAATTTTGTCGAAGAGGTTCTGGAACACTTTTTCAGTTCATTCCCCCAGAAAAAAAGCCCTGGGTGGCTGGCTAATAAAATGATAGCTGAAATTCAACACTTGAAAGCATTCAAATGGATATTCATTAGGAGAAAATATTCCATATGCTGGTGTGGACTGCATTGCCTATCACCCTTAATAAAGGTGTTGTGGAAAGGTAGGTCACCTTACCATGCTGTAGCATGCCACAAGTAGTGTTGGGATCTGCGTTTCTTTTTAATAAAGGGGCAAAGAGGAGTATGCCATCTGTAGCGTGGAAGTACAGCGACTTGGTGTCAGGTAGCCCTGTCATGGATCTGGAATGTGGAGGGGGTTTTCTTCTCCTCGTTCCCTGTCCAGCTTTCTCAGGCTTGACCTTGTAGTCTCCAGCTGCATTATTCTTGCTGGGAACGTAACGGCTTTTTGCTAAGATTGCTGCTTGCTTGCTTTGCCGCGCGCACGAACAATAACCATTGGCTTTTGCTCATTGGGGGGGGGGGGGATGTTTGATTTCACTATAAGTCAGAGGCCCTTATACTGAAGGTTATTCCTGATACAAGCTGTATACGTGATCATTAGTTCTAGATTCATCAATAAACACTTATCTTCTTATGAAGCCTTGTGTGGTGTGACCTGACTGACGATCCTGACACTTGGTAATATAATTTGATGTAAGGTACTGCTAGACCATCTCTTTTTTTCATCTTGTAAAACTTTGAATCTAATTCTTGGTTTTTGCCATTCCATATAAACGTATTTATTTGCTTCTGCCAGTCCTTCAGAGTCTTTTCTGGTATATTGATTGGTAACATCTGAAATTTAAAAAAGGCAATATGTTCATTTTTATTGTAGAAATTCTTCCCAGCTATGATAATTTTAATTTAGTCCATCTTTCCATATCTTTTTGTATTTTCATCCAAACTATTTTGTAATTATCTTTAAATAGTGTATCATTTTGCCCTGTTAGGTTTATTCCCAAATGTTTAACTGGATTTGATGTTATTTCACATCCTGTAATTTTCTTAATACTTTCCTCTTCTTGTTTCATTTAAAATTTTAAGATTATTTTCATTTTATTCCTACTGATTTTATACCCCTAAAAAGACCCATATTTTTCAATTTATTTCATTACATATTGCATTGACAGATGAGGATTTAAAATTGTCAAAGCCACATAATCAGCATAGCTTTTCAATTTGAATTCTTCTCCATCTAGTTTCAGTCTTTCAAGTTTTGAGTATTGCCTTATCTTGGAAGCAAACACCTCCAGTGCAAGAATAAATTAAAGTGGTGATAATGGGCATCCTTGGTGTGTCCCCTTTTCTATTTGAGACCCATCTGTTAATACTCCATTAATTAAAATTTTTGCATGCTGTTTCATATAGATACTCTGTATCCAATTCATAAATCTGGGTCCACAGTTCAAATACTGTAGCATTTTTTTGTAAAAAAAATACCAAGACAAGTTGTCAAATGCTTTTTCAGCATCTAAAAACATAAATGCGACTAAAAAGACCTTATTCTGGTACTTAATTACAACAGCGAGAATGATTTATGCACAATTTTGGAAAACAGAGAAAGTGCCAGAAATCGAAGACTGGATACAAAAAGTTCTGTTCATGGCAGAAATGGACAAAATCACGAAAAAGTTGAATAATAAAGAGGATGAAGTGTTTTTTCAAGAATGGAGTGACTTTAAAACATATCTGGAAAAGAACTGGGATGTGAAACAAAACTTAATATGTTTAGATCAATATTAAGTCAAATGATGTTATCTTGAGACTGTAATGATAAGAAAATGATATAATTGATGATGTAAAGTAATGTGGAGTAGGGGGGGAAGCATTGCGGGAAGCCACCGGAGGGAGGGGAGGAAATGGGAATGGGGTAGATAATGGAAAGGATGAAATGATTTAATTATAAATGTTAAATTCCTAAGAAAAATAAAAAAATTGTTTACCAAAAAAAACATAAATGCTGCCAAACATAAATGCTGCCCCCCCCCCCCCCCATTTTTCACAAATTCTATTGCATTAATTACAAAATGAACATTATCTTTCTGGTACAAAACCAGATCACAGCCATTACAGAAGTAAAAATGTTATAATCCACATTCAATAATGAAATAGGTCTATAGACTGTGGTGACATTGAATAATTACCTTCTTTATGTATTAGTGTTATATGGGCCTCTTGCCCTAGAAATAACAGGTGAATCAGATGCTGTTAATTTGGGTGATACATTGCCTCAGCACTTAGGCATTTCTCATATAAAAGTAATTCATAGTGTGTGTTTGGGTTTTCTGACTGCTCCCATATAAATCCCACTGCGTATTTTTTATTTAAGGACATGGGAAAATTCTGCTTAACTTATGAAGCATCTATGACCCGTCTCTTCAGAGAAGGTAGAACAGAAACAGTTCGCTCATGTACTGTTGAGTCCTGCAAGTTTGTGCAAGCTATGGATGACCCAGCAGAAAGTGTGAGTTTATTATGGCAATATTATGGCCTTATGTTCATTTATATGTATGTAAACTTTTCCTTGTTGAACTTAGCAGTAATTGCATTCATGGCAAGATGAATACTGTAATAAGCTGTTGGAAGACCTTTCAGTTGTTTTTCCTTATAGGAGCTACAAATATCTCAAAACGGGTTCCGGTGTTGTCAATAAACGTTGAGCCATTAGGAGAAACGGCACAACTTTACAAAAAGAATTTTATTTGTGGCCCTGCTCATGTCACCTCCACTTGCTTAAAATGTGATTTTGTTCCTCCTGTCCTACTATCTGATGTGTTCTGTCCCCATTCAGCCACCTGGAGGATAACCCAAGCACACTGCCTGCAACACATGCTCTCTACCCAGCACTGTAGTGTGCCATGAAGTGAACGCCTTTTCTGCAGCAAGTAGCATATGATTTACCCACCATTAGTGATGAATGGAGAGCTTGCTGGTAGAACCAGCTACAACTGGGGCTTGACGACTGCTTCCCCCCAAAAAAGCATTCTCCTGAACTGCTTAATGCAGGCCATGTGTTTGATGGCAGGACATCAGTTCCACAGAATGACTTGGGATCCTAGTGGGCCCCATTCCCTACCTGATAAGCCTTGACTCTGATGCTATTTATTTCTATTTGTATCCCGCCCTCCCTGCTAGCAGGCTCAGAACGGGTGGCAACAATGGAAATACAAATAATCAAAACAGTTTAGAAATAAACGATACTCACGGGGGGGGCAGTCTCTCTCTTTCCCCTGTTCTCTCTCTTCCCCCCGTCTCTCTCTCTCTGTCTCTCTCTTCCCCCCGTTCTCTCTCTTCCCCCCAGTCTCTCTCTCTCTCCCCCTTCTCTCTCTCCCCCAGGCTCTCTCTCCCCCCCCGTTCTCTCT